AATAAAAGTGTTGTTTGTATCACTGGTATGTAAATTCAACTCGATGCATTGATGGGGATATTTAAATAAAATGTAATTCATTTCTCAAGATTTCAATGGAAGGAATTCCACCTTTGCCCAAGTTATGTTTCGTAGCAAGATATAATCATCCTCTCTCGTCCATGAGAATATTCATCAAGTTGCAAAAATGCGTGGATGCAAAGACAAAAGATAACAAAAAATGCATCCTTTCTCATGATGCTCTGCAGGAGACATAGGGCACAGAAAGAGTGGGCTGCAGATATAGCACAGGGCTTACAATTAAGAATTTAGATTGTGCAAATATGTATCGTAGTGGGCAACCCAAGGAGAAGCTAAAAATGAATAGATTGTACTTGGTGTGGTGTCTCATCAAAACTGGGTGCACACAGACAAAGAACCTCCGTATAGCCTGAACAGACTGTTGGGGCAAGTGCTGTTCGCGAACACCTATGAAGGCCGGCACGGGACACGAGGGGGTGGGTGTCCAGCACCACGCCCCGGCCGCCTTTGTCTCCCTAGTGGTGATGTTTACACACCACACCATGCACTCGTTTGAGGCTGAGTCGACCTACGGGAGGCCCAGGACCGGTTCAGTTAATCGTAACTTGTGCTGGCCTTGAGCGGGAATCGAACTTGGGTTTACGTGTTCAGATCACAGCGCGCTCAACTGCTGTACTACCATGTGGCTTGTATCCGTGAACGTGTGCGCGTGTATGCGTGGCATTGCGCGCGAGTGTATTCGTCTGCGTGTGCGTCACTTCCAACGTGCGTGCTAATGAGTGCATTGCGTGCGTTGTTGCGTGCCCGTGCGCGAAGCGGTTCGACACGTGAGCGAGTGTACACACGGCCAAAAATGTGGCATTGCCAACGTATCCCAACCCAGTCGGTCAGTTACCCCACCTCGTGATGTGTGTGCGTGTGTGCACACATCACATGCGGTACAGGAGGATGTGGAGCTGAGTGGACTTGCCAGTGATTGGTGCCAGAGGTGTCAAGATCTGCCTCTGTAGAGGAGGTTCGTGAAGGACGCTACTCAACAGTTGGAGGAAGTCGTCCTCTCCAGCAACAACGGTGGGCAGAGGAGCGACGCTCACAACAATGTGCAGAACGCCGGGCGGAACGTTGCAAGTTGGCACAGTAGGGAACATAGGTGTTGCATCTGCCAGTCATCTCCGTCAGTCAACCCATAACACCTGGGGTCTGTCCCGTGACCTCCTGTCAGCCGCGAGCTTTCCATGATTCACGTAGCCTCAAAGTGCACCCAGCCGGGTACAAGCGATGTGGTGAAGTCACTGCTAATTAGTGTGGAATGAGGGCAGTTGTTGTTGACGCGTAACATAATCAGGCCGATGTGATGCACCTATGTGTGCATTGAAGTGTGTTTATGCATACCCGCCACTGATGCTGCATTCAGGTTTCATATTCAATACAATTGTGGATTTAGCGTCCACACCCTTTGAGCCCAAAGCTCATCACTTGGTGTGTGTCTCACCTTGTACTTACAGTATGCAAATATCATGCAAAGGGGGTGGCCAGGCAGTGCTCTATAACCTGTTCCCCATCGACTGTGATCTCTGACATAACCCTTACCTTTCCGCATAACTGACAACCACAACATGTGGACACTTTGACGTCTTGGGCTTGGTCGTAAGAAAGCCTAAAATCTATTACGACTTCCTTTGTCGTGGCAGCTTGTTTGCAACAAAACGGTTTCAAAGGGCATCATACGCATGGACAGATGCAGGTCCTCCGGGCCAAATGCCCACGTCACGCACGCCTCTGCAGAGTTCATCTGCCTTTAGGGCTGTTTAACTGCGGTATAAACGTGCTATTGGACCCGTCCTGCTGGCTTGTATTCCTACGGTAATACGAGTCGTCCCTGGTAATAATACGTGCGTGTGTGGCAGCGGTGTGTAATGCGCAGAACTTAATAAATAAATGATTTCACATCCACTGGCTCACCTTGGTGCCTGCACACTCTGCAATGCGTCCCTAGGAAAGTCCCCGGCACCCTTCCCCAGCCAACGCTTTAATTAGATTCCCGCTTGGCCTATTTCGCTAGCGCTGCTGAATCCATGACCTTCATTCACGCACACTTCCTCTATCCATTACACACTTGTCCAAATGTCAGTGAAGTCCGGCCCGAATTGTATATTTTTTTCTTCCTGAGAATAATTATATCACAAACTTTACTATTGACCCAAACGGTCTTTGTTTTAGTTGTATTCTTTATCTAATTATAAGCAAGTTCTGTACATGTGTGACAACGAGTTGTATAGCTCATCGGATTCATCCAGTATAAGTACATATTCTGACTCGGTTAGTAATCTTATGGGCACCCTTATTTATTGCTGTTCCCACTTCAGCAAAAAAAAATCTTGCTGTGGTTTTCCCACCTGATGATGATTGCTTGTGTTGCAATCGAAACGTCGTGATTTATTTTATTTGATACCTACGTGACTTTACCGAAAGAACCAAAGAGTTTGGATTCCTGCAATCACGAAAGCCTCAAATGTAGATTGTTTCGTACAAATTTTACGGTAATTTTGTAAACAAAACAAAAAACACGAATTGTCCCGTTTTGACCAACGATTGTACAGAGTGCGCTCGAAATGTTGTTGACATTTAGAGAAGAACGAGGAACAGGGATGGAACCTCGCAGAGTCAAGGGCGAGCTCCTCTCGCCGCCAGCGGTCCCCAGGACGTCTCTCCCCCTCGCTCGCTCACTCGCTCTCTCTCTCTCTCCTATCGGCCCATCACAGAGCGGCTCCCCAACCCCGCAGCGCCTCACGGCTCGGGGCCACAGCGCCGGTCGCGTTGTGGGGGTATGCCCCCCCCCCCATCTCTGTCCCACGCGCGTGCGGGAGGGGGGGCAGGGGGGGCAGGGGGGCAGAGGGGTACACCCCCCCCCTGCCCGCGCGCGTGTGTGGGGGGGATGGGGGTACGATGTCACTGCCCGCGCCGCGCGCGTTCTTTCCAGAGCCCTCCTCCCCTCTCACCCGGACCGTCATTCACGGCAAAGTCACCGCGTGTCAATGTCACGAGTCGCCGTGAGTTCCATGGCGCTGTTCCATTCTCCCCAATTGCTGGGATGAACAGAGCGCAGCTCCACGAGACACGAGCGGACGCATTACGGAGGCCTTCTCCCAGCAGTGTATCGATCACTGGATGATGATTATTGCCTCTCTTTCGTGTTCCAGTTGTACCATTTTCCCAATGTGTTCTGCTCACACCTACATGGCGTCTGAACGTGCGACCATTTGCAACGATAACGTGATGATCCCTACGAGCGCTCCTGCTGTCGAGGCGCACCGCACAACGCCAACGCGCCCTGTCCCCCGTGGTCATATTTGGCCGCAAAAGTGCGCCGTGCAGTAAATACGCACGGTGCTACCGGCCCCATTGCAACTGGCGTCCCCCTGCGAGTCCCACGCAGCCACCTGTCCACCACACCGAAGGCAGTGGCACGACGCCAAGTTGGCACCCAGGGCTCACGGAGTCAACGATCGTGATCCATAGGTCACCATTGCCCCGATGCAAACGCGTGGCTTGCTGCGCTGCTCTCTGTGCACGGGCACGGAGCGCAGCAATCAATCGCCAGGTTTATGGCTTTAGGCCCCCCTCTCTTAATGACTACTACGCCCTGGATTACACTGCCCCCAGTGAACACAGCCCCGAGTGAAATGTCAATGGATTGTTCTCTCAACGCCCGATTTATTACACAACCCGGTTATCTTCACAGCGCTAAGCCACGCTTATGACAGTTTATTGACTACGTTTGTTGTATGCCCGTGTTATATCGACTCGAGTGCTCTATCATGCCTGCCATATACAGGAGTTATTGGATACTTGATCTGTAGTTAGTGGGAGCCTACACAGTAGCTTTTGATGATCTATAAGCATGCGCTTACATTCGCCGCCATCAACTCAATGTTGTGGCAATTGAATCAATTGCATGTGCAGATTCATCGAAGCCCATGGGTGGGTGTAAGACTTGGTGAATAAGTCAATCAACAATTAACAGCGCGAATTACAATGCCGCACGTGACCGCCACTCATCTCTGTAAAGGCGGCTGATCTTTACTTTGTGAAACCCGCCTTGGAAACACACGCGTGATGGCAATCAGCGCTTAGTTGTGAGCAGTATCCGCTGTTATCCTTCGTGAATCGTCAGCAATCGCCATGGAATTGCCAACGTGAAGTCAATTGATTTCCATAAAACTCACCTTTACTTACAGAACACATACGAGAGAATCGATTTCTATCTTTATTATAATTCACCAAAGCGAATGTGGCACATACGTCAACAGGAAAAGTTGTACATCCATAAAAGGTGATCGATCACGTTTGGTTTCGTTATGATACTGTCAGTGAACATCATTTACCGAATCGTCCACCCAATCTTCAAGAGGGTCTCGGATTTGTGTTTACCTTTCCTATAATTTGTACACCGATCGGGTTTTTGTATTGTTGCTTTCAAGTTCTGACTCGCCCCGACTGGATATCTATGTTAAAGAGCTTTATAGCTAATCGGATTCGTCAGTATACATAAATATTCAGATTCTGATATAGAGGCACTGATCACGCGGTCCCCTCGTGTGGGCCCTCACACGGGGCTGCCGGCTATTGCGCGCATTTCCCATCGCAGCTGGCAATGCAGAGACATAGCGATGTATGAATGTTGAACTTCTTTCGCACCGTACGTAGCCAACCGTGCTAATCGGAGGTGCGGGGGAAGGACACCACACGAAACACAAGGCAGAGATAGAGAGACGGAGACAGAAAGATGCAGGGGCAGACAGAGACTGTCACAGGGGGAAGACATACAGACACAGGGGCAGACAGAGATACACTGCAGCAGACAGAGACACACCCAGAGGGGCAGACAGAGACACACAGAGACACACACGGAGAGGGGCAGAGACGGAGAGAGGCGCAGACTGAGCGAGCCAGGGGCGCAGAGGGGACCGCGTACTCACAGGAAGGTGGTGAGCGGGCTGATGCCCGCGGGGAGGCACGTGAGCCCCAGCTCGGAGCAGTCGACTCTGAGGACGCGGGGCTCCTCCTGGCAGCGGCATCGCGGGGGGCAGCGGCCCCCTTCACCCGGGCGAGCCCCGCAGCTCGTCCCACACAGCACCAGCAGCAGCAGCAGCAGCAGGGACATCACCGGCTTCCGCGGCGAGACTGGCATGGCTCTCCGTTGCGTATGTGTCTCTCTATGTATCTGCCTCTCCAGCTGCTTGCCCTTGGCTGTGGCTGTCGGCGAGTTTGTTACCTGTTGCTAACAACCCGCGCCTCTCGGTGGGAGAGAGAGAGAGAGAGGCAGCTTGCGAGAAGAAGCGACGTGTCGCACGCGTGTTGTGCGCTCGAGACGCGGAGTCGCACTGGGTAAACCGAGTCGCTGGTTGACACACGCGCGAGAGGGAGGGAGATTACGTCGGGCGTCAAGAATGAAGCGCGTCCACTCGTGTACCTATGGCCGTGTGCCCTACACACACACGCGCGCACACGTGTGCCCTACACACACACACGCGCACACGTGTGCCCTACACACACACGCACGTGTGGTGTACACACGCAGCAGCAGCGTGCTTACAGCTGAGACTCGTGTTCGCCGCTCGCCCTGCACTTTACTTTATAGGAGCGCAAAGTGGAACATTGCGCATCGTCGCACGATTGGCCCCACGCCCCTATATATACACACACACACCCCGCACACACACGCGGGCAGATCGGCGCGGTGCAAGGCTGCTCTCCATTGGCTCTCGCGCTCCGACACTCGCAAGCACGCGGGATGCCGCGGGGGCCGATGTGCCGATGTGCCATTCTCTCTGCTTCTTCATCTTCTTCTTTCCGGCACTCAGAAGAGACGCATCTCTCTCTCTTTCACACGCACACAGCGACAGAGATCCCGCCCGTAGGAGCCTTTGGCAGACTCCCACACTCTTTGGTTCTTGCAGCGTGCTACAATTAATTGTAAAGCCACGTGACTTTGCCGAAAAGAACCACAGTGTGGATTCCCTGTAGTCACGAAAAACTTCAAATCTATAGATTCTTTGCTGTTTACCAGCACCCATAAAGCACGTCACGGCACACACGAGGGGACGGGTGATGTTAACGCGCCCGCAACCAGGCTCTCGTTTAATAAGGCTGAGTCGACCTAGGGGAGCCCCAGGATCGGTTCGAGTATTCGCCACTGTTATTGGTCGTGAGCGGGAATGGAACTCGGCTCGCCGGGTTCGTAGCGCAGCGCGCTAACCACTGCACTACCGCTCCCCACAAAAAAACAAAGATCCCCTGTACAGTCTAAAGAGAGTGTTGGGGCAAGTATTGTTCACGAGCACACAAGTGTCCTGCGTGCGGCCTCGAGATACAAGCGGCAACAAGGGGTCGTGGCTTCGCCTGGTGTGTTGGATCGTGCCTCCAGAGAGAGAGAGAGAGACACGCGCACACGCAATGCGCCTGTGCAACACGCGTGCGCAACACGGCACGCCTGCACAACACGGCACGCGTGCACAACACGGCACGCGTGCACAACACGGCACGCGTTAACGCGTTAACGCGTTAACGGCACCGCCGCCGTGGAACAAGCGGACTCTATTCAGCTTCGGAATATAAAATAACAATTAATTGTAGCACGCTGCTTTTTATATTCATATTCTTGGTTCTTTTGGTAAAGTCACGTAGAAGGGAAATAATACAATAATAAAATGCTGCTTTTTGTTCGTTCCCAAACGCCATACGACGGAGTACAAGGAATACCGTAAGTAATGTACACGTAAGCAAGTGAACGAAAAGCCCATATCACGCACCTACATACACAAAAAAAAACAGAGACAAAGATCCCCCGTATAGCCTTTACAGACTGTTGGTGTTTGTTGGCCGTGTGCGGGAATCGAACTCGGGTCGCCAGCTTCGTAGCGCAATGCAACAAAACTGCACCGCGGCTCCCCGTGTGTCCATTTGACAAAGACAAAGATGCCGTCATGTATTTCACAGACTGTTGGGGCAAGTGCTGTTAGCGAGTAGCACCTATGAAGGCCGGCACAGCACACGAGGGGCTGCGGATGACCAGCACCACGCCCGGCCGCCTTTGTCTCCCGTAGTACGCTGTTTACACGCCGCACCAGGTACTTATTTGAGGCTGAGTCGACCTAGGGGAGGCCCAGGACCGGTTCAGATAATCGCCACCGGTGTTGGCCGTGAGCGAGAATCGAACTCGGGTCGCACGAGTCCGTAGCGCAGCGCGTCAACCGTTGCGCCACCGCTCCCCACGCACGTACACACGAGTAACGCACGTACGCACGTGTGCACGTGAGTGTATATATATACTCATACACACACACACAGACGGCCACGAAAGATCCCACGCGGTGTGCGATCACGGAGTGACACGTGCGCGTGAAAAGTTAAAGTTTCACTCGTTGCTTGGACAACCCAAATATTCTAGCCTGGTTGTCAACTTCTTGAACAGACGACACTTGAAAAACCCGCTGGATGGAAAATAACATATCCTCTCGACCGGTGCATATTTGAATGTTACATATAAGCTATATGTCAGTTTAACAACGTAGGCTTTCGCGACAAATATTATTCATAATAAAGTATTTTGGGTTAGATCGCGTTATTTATGTATGTGTCGTAACCCTCCACCACCCGACACGGCCAAACAGTAAACAATGTGTCACGTTTACAAAAGGACAAATAATTCACCGGTGTGTTGAAGAGCGAATCGACATCATTTACAATTTGAGTAGTACGACGTTTCGCTGGTAATTACAATCAGCTTCATCGGGCAAGAATGGTGAAGCTTCCCTGTTGCTCCCGGTCTGAAATAGAGCAGCAGCAGGGTGATGTCATCATTTAATTCAATATGGTGCAGTGATTCTAGGCGGAGAGGGGGAGGGTATTGTATCATGAAGCTATACGTAAATGTAATTGTGGCTTGTGTGTAGCGTACGAAATGAAATCCGCGCACCAACTCAAGCCCACGAACCGCTCTCGCGCACGCAGAGACCAGGAGAGCACCACCACCACTGTAGACTCCCCTGTGCACCACCACCACCACCACTACTATAGACTCCCCTGTGCACCACCACCACCACCACTACTATAGACTCCCCTGGGCACCACCACTATAGACTCCCCTGTGCACCACCACCACCACTATAGACTCCCCTGTGCACCACCACTATAGACTCCCATGTGCACCACCACTGTAGACTCCCCTGTGCACCACCACCACCACCACTATAGACTCCCCTGGGCACCACCACCACCACTACTATAGACTCCCCTGGGCACCACCACTATAGACTCCCATGTGCACCACCACCACCACTATAGACTCCCCTGTGTACCACCACCACCACCACTATAGACTCCCCTGTGCACCACCACCACCACTACTATAGACTCCCCTGGGCACCACCACCACCACTACTATAGACTCCCCTGGGCACCACCACCACTATAGACTCCCCTGTGCACCACCACCACCACTACTATAGACTCCCCTGGGCACCACCACCACCACTACTATAGACTCCCCTGTGCACCACCACTATAGACTCCCCTGGGCACCACCACCACCACTATAGACTCCCATGTGCACCACCACCACCACCACTATAGACTCCCCTGTGCACCACCACCACCACTATAGACTCCCCTGTGCACCACCACTGTAGACTCCCATGTGCACCACCACCACCACCACTATAGACTCCCCTGGGCACCACCACTATAGACTCCCATGTGCACCACCACCACCACCACTATAGACTCCCCTGTGCACCACCACCACCACCACTATAGACTCCCCTGTGCACCACCACCACCACCACTATAGACTCCCCTGTGCACCACCACCACCACTACTATAGACTCCCCTGGGCACCACCACCACCACTACTATAGACTCCCCTGGGCACCACCACTATAGACTCCCATGTGCACCACCACCACTACTATAGACTCCCCTGAGCACCACCACCACCACTATAGACTCCCTTGTGCACCACCACCACTATAGACTCCCCTGAGCACCACCACCACCACTATAGACTCCCCTGTGCACCACCACCACTATAGACTCTGCACGTGTACGTAGACTTGCATGTACACGCGACCCGCGATAATTATCTGAGTTTATCATCCAAGGCGACAGAGATGGCTCTGCCGGGTGTATGTTTGGAGGTGAATACGAATTGTTGACAGCTTTTGATCCTATCGCCGAGTCGGAGGGGACTTCCAGTCAAAACTAAAAATTTTACACGTAGCCCTAATCTTTCATAATGAATGGGGATTATTGTTTGGGCGAAAATGGCAGGCACCGCGCGTCATGTAAACTACCGACTATTTTTAAAACTTAATGGCAGATATCCTGGAGTCAGAGGGGAAAAAACCCGATAATTACCGAATGCGCTGACGGTTTGGTGGAGAGGTCACAACGGACGTGGATTTGTTGGCAATATTTAAAGAAACCGAGTTGGTGGTGTTAATGAATGCTGCTTAAATATTCGTCCGATCGAAAGAACAAAACCACAATCTTCCAAGTGTTAGACCCCCGCTGCACATTCACACGCAGAGCAAAATTTTAGTTGATTTAATCTGCAAGAGCAATCTGGCTCCGTGGACGTGTTGATTTGTCGTCTCGGGAGTGGTGCGTTAAGGGGCGGGAAACTCGCCACCACTACCGCCACCACCACCACCGCTACCACCGCCGCCGCCGCCACCACCACCGCCACCGTCACCACCGCCACCACCCCCACCAACATCGCCACAACCACCACCACCACCACAGCCACCGCCACCACAACCGCCACCACCGTCGCCACCACCGCCACAACCGCCGCCGTGGCCGCCGCGTCTCACTTCAGCAACTATTTCGCTCCGTTTGTCGCCCCAGATACGATCCCCCCCCCCCCCCCTCTGCAACAACACGACTGGCGCCGCCACTGAAGCTAGAAGCGCAGATGGTTCGCGGCGCACACGAGGAGTTGCCTGCACGGAGCCGGGTGCCATGAACAAATCCGTTTAAAAAGTGGCACTTGAGCGCGCGCGTGACCACGTCCGCAGTACGTCGTTGTCGTCGTCGTCATCATCAACAATCCACTGCATTCGTCGCTAAGCCGCCGCCATCTCTCAATGAGTGCGCGATGCAATGCTCCACTAACGCGTGCGCACGAGCTGATTCAACGCGGCATGGTGCCGCACCTGCCGAGAAGAGTCGTGCACGTGCCCTGGAAGGGAATGCGTCAAATGTGTGGTCATTTTCTTTTCTTGCAGCGAACGTATTGTTCATGCAACGTATTGAATCCTCGTAATTAGATTTAATTTCCTTCAAGCAACATTACATGACTCATGGAGGCCCATCGTTGCCGTTCGGCGTGGGGTTATGATGCGTTTTGAGTTCTCGCATTAACCACCCCCTCCCCCCCCCAGCTCACCAATGAACGCTGCGAGGCACGAGCAGGAAACGGGTGAACACGTTGAGTGGCAATGACAAAAGCAGACGTCGTGAGCATGGGCTGTCGATGAACGATGTAATGGCTCCTGAATGCGTACACGTGGACACAGCGGGCGGTGACCGAGGCTCCATATAAAAATGAGTTCACTGCGTATATTGTTTTCTCGGGCATGGTGGCAG